GATGACAAACAGACACACATTTTGCCTTTCAATTCACTACAGATAAGCCAAACTTTGACAAAACTGAAATATGATCATTTTGGATATTTACAATTACATTGCCCACACAAACCACACATGGTAAATTATGATACAAGAAAAAACAGATTTTTTTTCAGACAAAGTCTGAACAAGTACTAAGTGAAATCTCATTTATCTATGCATATACAAAAACAAAATTACCTCTGTAGGCAGAGGGTTCTCTGTGACTGATGCACCGTTTTTATCAGACACCACACTCAGAAGCGGAGAAAAACTAGACTGACTTGGTAGCTGATATGGCGTCGCCTTATTACCTCAGTCATCTGGTTTGTGACATAAGGAGAAAATCTTGAGGTCATGGGGCTTCCCCTGACCTAGATTTCTCTCTCCGTCATTTGCAAAAATCGCAAAATAGTCATTTTAACTGACCGGAGTCTATGGTGGGTAATTAAACATAGTGAACTGCCACAGCAAATATGTTCTTACTCACCCGCAATAATATCCCCAGATTTTGCAACAACTTGAAAACCATCAGCGACTTTATCTAAACTATCTCCATGCGTCAGTAACACAGATTCTTCCTTTGATAGATCTCTGTTAGAATAAAATGCTCAAATTATAGCACATATAATAACTAATAACCTCACCAGTCATTGGCAACTAATAACTAGTGCATTGAAGTACATAATAAGGTCTAACAAAATTTGAAAAATTTAATTTTAGTTTTTGTCTAAAATTTTGATACTTTGAGTGTCACTATTATTTTGAACAAAAGTCAATAATAAACTTGCTATACTTACAATAACAATTGACAACAAAAACCAAGTTGCAACTTTTAAAGACATTGCAGAAATATAATTGATAATACCTATCAATTATATTTAACCAGAAGCTTTGCGTGTTCTGCTAAAATATTGATTAAAACTTTTTGTCAAAAAGCAAATTTTGTGAGTTTGGTTCAAAAATAAATGCACATTTATTATTGTCAAAAAAAAAGATTATTCTCACTTACTTGAAAAGTTTACAACTGGTATCTACGACAACATCAAACTGACCATCTTCTCTCACAGCTTTCTTCTGAACAGTGCCTTGGTATTCTTTGTTCATCATCTATGGTAACCATGGTAATTTAACAAAAGAAAAGGATGATGTTATTAATAAATACAATCAAGCTACTCCCAAAAATTCCTTCAAATTCAATAAATTTCATGTGTCTGCAAAATTTGTGAAATTTTGTAGAACTGAATATTTCACTGAAGTCCTTACAACTGAGTCACACTGAATATTTCACTGAAGTCCTTACAACTGAGTCACACTGAATATTTCACTGAAGTCCTTACAACTGAGTCACACTGAATATTTCACTGAAGTCCTTACAACTGAGTCACAGTGAATATTTCACTGAAGTCCTTACAACTGAGTCACACTGAATATTTCACTGAAGTCCTTGCAACTGAGTCACACTGAATATTTCACTGAAGTCCTTAGCAACTTGAGTCACAGCTGAATATTTCACTGAAGTCCTTGCAACTGAGTCACAGTGAATATTTCACTGAAGTCCTTACAACTGAGTCACACTGAATATTTCACTGAAGTCCTTACAACTGAGTCAACACTGAATATTTCACTGAAGTCCTTACAACTGAGTCACACTGAA